GGCAATCCATTTTTCTTTTTATTCTCTAGAACTTTAGGAACCCTGAAGTGGTTGTTCTGTTTTTCATGTACCGCAAATTTCTTCGATTTTTTTAAGTCTCATAATGATCTAAATTGCAGTTTTATTACAGTTTTTGATAGTACCTGGATATCATTATCATTATTATTGTTAATCAATTCTTTATTACGCCATCAGAGGCATCTTACTGTTGAGCCTACTTTTTCTTTGCTCTTATTGTTGACAACTACTTCTTGCTTATCAAAAAGTTACGCCTCAGTGTTGTTACTGTTTATATAAGAAATGTTTTATGAACAACCTATTTACTATTAAGTGTTACTGATATCAGTTAAAAGTTAAGTTCTTAGTTATGTACTCATTAAGTGGAGCAGTGAAGAATATGATACATTTCTCAAACTTTGCAGTACTGTCATAAAGTATTGCTGCTTCCAGGCATGTTTTCTTTGGTATATCTTTTACTAATCCCAACACGGCTATTAAATGCTTTCTTAGTCTCTCGTTGCTTGAGATGTGTGCATTTTTCAATTGATTTATTTTCTTTCCAATATGAGTGTATTTCAAGGCTTTCAAGATCGCTGAAGTTGTATTAGAAGCATTCGAAAGCGGCTTTGTTTGCAACTTTTTTATTTTTTTACAGACCTTTGTAAATTTTTGCTGGGAAGAAAATATTTTCTAATTTCAGTTGAAGGTCGATTGTCATTCATAATTTTCTCTTCTGTTATATAGTACGGTAATAACAGCTGTTATTTTTCTGTGTAAACTTATTGTTTTTTTTTAGCGAGATGCTTCATCGAAGGATTGTAGAACCAAAATCGGAGAAAAATTCATCTTCAGAAACTGCTGTGAAACCACTGGTTAAATCGCATGACGGTGATAAAGTGTGTAGATCTTGGGTGCTTTCTCAGTTTTCCATCCCCCTAACTTTTTTTTCGTCTTCATATTCGAGTTTTGGTGGTCTTATAGTACCACAGCCTCTTCATTACAGCTTTTGAAAACCTATTTGGAGCAATATCCTCTGGAAAGATTCCCGAATTGGAGTCTTACTAACGACCCATATTATGTCGAAGCTCCAATTGACAAATTAGTTGATTTCGGGTTTCACCTTAGAACGCACTTAACTGCCTTAATTTTGGCTGGAAATCCGGCTATTGAATATCTACAGGTTATTTCTTCAAAAAACAATAGTTTTAGATTATATAATTCACTTTATAGCAATAATGGTGCATTTTAAATGATTACTTCTTTCAGCGTCGGCAAACGGGATTATTGACTTTTTTGGCTCGACTGTTCACGAAACTTGGCTTGGAAGAATTTTTCACTTTAATTGTGGTTGGAAACGTAAGTTAAATTGGGCAATGAAAACCGAAAATTTTTTTAAACGTAGATTTTTCCAGTTGTGGTTGTTCGATGCAAGGTTGGGAAGATTTCTTTCTGCTTTACTTGCATTGGGTTTCTCTGTCTCTGGTGCACTGAAAGGATTGTTCTGTCTGCCGCGACCGCCATCTCCGCCTGCTATACGTCTTAGCGAAGAAGATAAAGATTGGTAAGTATTTCGCCCTTTTTGTTTTCCACTAATACTGCTTCTGTTCTGATTTTTGATTTGTTGCGCTGTCATTAACACGGACCGTTAGAGAGATCCTTAAGTTCGCTTTTTGTATCTTTTTTCTAATTCTTCATGCATGATGGTGTTTTAAAGAGTGCATCAGTGTTAACAATGTAACAGAAACAGCTAAGATTTCCCTTACTTTATCGCTGCAGACCTGATGCTTCTCTAAGGTTTTTAAAAATGTCTTGAGCGAGGAAGCCAATTTGTGCTCTGTAATATAATATTTGGATTAAATCGCGTCGTTCTTTTTTTTGGAAGTCAGGATAGTCTCGTGCTGATGCTACTCCATCTCGCTTAACGCCGAATAAAGTTTTTAAATTTATTTAAAGCGACGTTTGATGGATATAATATTCAGTTTTCCAAAGCGAAATGTCCCTGCTTGAAAACTTTTTTGTACAGGGCTTGGCCGTCTAATCATGCGTTGACTGGCACGATTTTGCCATGGTTTATTTGGATTTATGCATCAAATAACTATGATCTTTCGTTCGCTCAGTCGTTGTTGCTTCTCTGCTCTGTTTTTACTTGTAAGATTTTGTAATTTAAAGGTTGAAAATTGTTTAAGTAAAAATATTTTAAAAAAGGAATGAGTTTTTTACCTCTTTATTTTTTGGCAATTTTTTTATTCTCATTACTATTTGTGAAGCATTCAGTAGCTTATCGGTAGTTTTGTTAGCAAGAATTTTTACAAGCTTTTTAGTAATCTCTTGATAAAGCTAAGACCTATTTTGACTAAAAGCTAACGAAAATTTCATTGTTTTCGTCTTCTCAGCTTTATTTTGTTAACACTAAAGTGGCTTTAGTAGGGGAAGTCGCTGTACATTGCAAATGGCGGCACCAAGTGCGTTACGTTTTTTTCTAGGAGAAATACTACACTTTTTGTTTCTTGCGTAGAGCGGTAGGAAATTTATTATAAAAATATTAATTCAAACTTTTTCAATGTTCTGAAAGCTTACAAATCGGCATGTTTTTGAATATTTAAAATTGAATGAATAGTCAAAAGTTATTGTCTTGCTGTGTCTCATATCGTTTATGACTGGAAATTAGCGCAGCTTGGTGGTATCGTTTCATTGATGTGATGTGATATGCTTCTTCTTTGTCAAGTGGTTATTAGCTTCCAAGTTAAAATTTTTGGAGGTTTGACAGTATATTTCTCTTCATTCTTCACTGTGGCAGGATATTTTTAAGGGAATAGCGGAGTAATCTGGAGTAGGGTTTATTTGGGCGTTCACTCACCGTGTGACATTGTTGCTGGTTGGGTGATTGGTGTGGTACTTCTGTTTATCTCTTTCGGGTTTGTTTTTCGTTCTTTGTTTTCTTCTCTTACTAAAAAACGATGCAAAGTCCATTATTTGATTCTTTTGTGTAGAAAAGTTTTATCAGCCACGGTTTTGGTGGTTTATTCCAATATTACAGTTTTTGTTATCGAATGGAAGAATTTTACTATAAGGCATCAGCTGAAGCATCTTGGAAACTGGTATATTTTACTTGTGCAGCGCTTTTTGCCTTGTATATGCAGCCAAGATCGTGGCCAGAGACCCAAACTTTTGGTGAAGTGCGTTGTGAATTGAAACTTTTTTGTTGACTATTTTAAAGCAATTTTTTCTTTCTATGAAACTGTCCCATATTTCGCAAACTAATATTTTCCTTGACCATTGTTTCGGTTTTTCAATCCTTTTTTCTTCAGACTGTTTGTGTAGTCTCAGGCGCATTAATCGGAGTTTTATCATCCCGAATTTTTCATATCGGTGGCGTTAACCCTCCAATGTCACTTTATGAGACTTTTCCAAATGCAACTTTTCCTCAGTATGCTGCGCGGCTTCTAGTTGGTTTGTTCTTTGTGAGTCTTATTTTTAAACAAATGCAGGAAACTTCAGATTTGGTTTTTTTAAGGCTTCGCGGTGGTTGTCTTCGTTCACCTAGTTATGAAACTTATTATGAAGAATTTAATGAAGTTTTTATATGAACGTTTTAAAGTCAATTATTATTCTTTTTCCATGCTCTGCAAATCATCTCCTGTTTTACCAAACAAACGCTACACATCACGTATGCGATTTAAACCTGTAACAGGAAAGGTAAATTTCTGCTACTTTCTTAATTACGTAGTGTGAATCAATTAAGCAAGTTAATGAAACATTTCAATCCTCTCCTGATTAAAAACCTTACGCTCTTATATTTCACTGTGCATGATAGCTGAGAGGAGGTGTTTCAGTCAGTGCGCTCCGATGATATTCCATATGACATTGACCTGCCAGTGAAGTTTGTTGTTTACTCTACACTTGGGTTTGCAGTCTCTGAAGGATGCCCTGCTATATTCAGAATGCTACAGTTATAGCTTATTAGGTTGCTTTTGCATTTTTGATACAATTATTTCATAGTGCTTAGTAAATGAGGGCGTCTTCGTTTGCTGGTTTAATGTAGTTTTTGTATCGTTATCATATGAGCTTATTAGCAAGAGAAACATAGATCTTGGGTATGTGCTCTCTGTACTTAATTTTATAATTATTTACCAGTCGAATCGCTAGCTTTGAGTGTATTTCTAACCTTACACTAAACAAGACAGATTTACTGTTGTAAGGTGGAAACTTGTAATAATTTTTGCATCTGTTTATCTAGCTTTTTTCATTAAAAACATTTAAATGGTGATTCTTTGCTAAATGTTTGACGATTCGTTTGAAATACTGTTACCGTTCTTTTTTGAATTTTTTCCCAATGGTGGTGCGTGTTTCACGAAGTGCAAGTATTTGGCAATAAGTTCTACTTACTATTTACCTCATGTTTTGTAATATTGCTTTGTTATTCCAGAATAGGGGAGGGCTATTTTGTAATGTTACTTTTTTGTTTGTCTTAATTAAATTAATTTCCATCAGGATTAGAGTTTGTGTGTGGTGTTGTAGAATTTGAAATTAAACTGTTTTGCAAATGATGCTATGAGCCCTATTAGTGCTGTAACCTCGTCAGTTTTTCTTTTTTTCTTGTAGGAGGCCATAGATGTTTTTCTTCGAATTCTTAATAAGCTACTTTTTGAAGAATTGTGATTTCTATCGTTTCTGTTAGTGTAATTTTTAGTAGTTGTAATAGATTGTTATGAAGTGTCAAGGTTAATAGAATAAAGGATTTTGTAGTTGTGTTTGTATTTTTTTCTAATCGTTTAATGTTCCTTTCGTTTAGTTATTTCAAACTTTATTTTTATTTGGCAAAGACCAATAGATATTTTTTTGGTAAAGTCTTATTGTGATGTTGTCGCTTCTCTTCTTGAGTTTGTGTTTGAGGGGCTTATGAATTATACTTTTTTTAATTATATTGGAAAGTTTTTGATGCAAACCTTATTGTTGCTTTAGCAACTGATGTACTGAGATCTGAGGGTTATCAGCTTTGAAGGGATTAGTCCTACATTTCTCTTCTTGAGGCAGACGGACAAACTTTCAAGGCGTCACTATAGGCGCCAATGGCTGCGAACAAAAGGCCTCCAGAGGATGATTCAAAGCTACCAACTTACAAGCTGGTAGTGATTGGCGAAGGCGGCGTTGGGAAATCCTCTCTGACAATCCAGTTTTTTCAGGTTTATTTTATGAATGCTACGCTCTAAATATTTAACTTTTTTTCTGTTTCAAATGTGTTGTTTTAAGTAAATCATTTAACTTTTGGCAATGATTTTTTTCGGATGGTTATATAAATTTCATCTGTTATTGATTTTATTTACTTTTTCTCTGCTTGTTAAATAGATCTTTACATTGGTATCAGTTACAGAAGCAGTTTGTTGACTATTATGATCCGACGATTGAAGATCAATACATACATCACTGTGAAGTTGATGGACAGTGGGTGATTATGGATGGTAGGTAGTTACATCGTTCATTTCTTGCTTTTATCTGTAGCGTCTTTTTTTCATCAATTTGTCTAGTAAATATATCTTTAGTTTTGGATACTGCTGGACAAGAAGAATTTTCTGCAATGAGGGAACAATATATGAGGAGTGGTCGGGGATTCCTGCTGGTTTATTCTGTAACAGACTCCCGTAGTTTTGAAGAAGCACCAAAATTGTATGAGCAGGTTTTGAGAGTGAAGGACAAAACAGAGTATCCTGTTCTGCTAGTGGCCAATAAGGTAATGTAGTTTTAAAACTGTTTTTTTCTTTTTTCGAGCTTAAAATTTTTTTATTGGTTTTGCTATTTTAGATGTTTGATTTTGTTTAATTTTCTTAATTTAGATCGATTTAGTGAGCCAGAGGAAGATCACTGAACAACAAGGTAGAGAGCTTGCTGATCGTTTAAAAGTTCCTTATATTGAAACCTCTGCTAAAGATCCTCCTGTAAACGTTGATGCTGCTTTCCATGAATTAGTTCGCATTGTGAAAAGCTTTCCTTTGGATGAGGATGGTGATAAGGTTTGTTTCACTCTTGACCACCACTAGTTTCAATTTCGACATTATTTTATTCAGTGAGCTTCACTGTGCTTGCAGCCATCCTCTTAAATGCATTGATTTTTTTGACTTCCAAACTTTTAGAATGCCCTTAGCCGTCTGTGTTGTGCTGGCAAAAAAATGATTTTTAATTGGCAGTGTGCTGTTAAATGCTTACAGTAAGAAAACCTGAAAAATAGTAGATTGATTCTCTCTGTTAAGCACCTTCAGTTTATGGGCAGGTTATATTAAGAGTGCAAAAAAACTTTTGGTAATTCTGCTTTTTTAAGATTTTCTTTTATTTTGTGCAAGTACATTAAAGCTTCAAAGTACGCCTGTAGTATTCCAAATTGTGATGTCTTTAATAAACCGATTTTACTGACTTAGTTCAAATAAATATCAACCATACCGTGTTGCAGCAAAGGTATGGTAGTTCAAGCCGAAAGAACAGAAAGAAGAAGTGCTCTGTGATGTAAACGGACTTGTAATTTGACTGATTTTATCGCTCAAAGTTTGCAAGACAAATTTATTGCTGAATTTGCAAATCTATTTCTCTCGTTTTTTCGTAAATAATGTGCTTACTTAATTTACTCAGTATTTTGTGTTGTGGGAGCTTTCAAGTGCTAAAGAGTGTATTTAACATTGCCACAGTGCGTATATACTTTCTTAAGCTATATCTTATGCTGCCAGTTGTGATTTTCGTGATGCGAGATGAAACTTTCCTATTCTAAAACGGGATTTTTCAATTTGATGTATTTATTATAGAATAAATAGTTCCTAAGATAGTTAAAGTTAAAATTTTTCAAGGGGCTCTTATTTATTAAGATCTGGTTGACTGTTTTACTTAAAAACTCATTTACTGAGTTGTTCTATTGTTATACTTTTCTGTGAAAAGTGCTGATCTGAATCTTTGTCTTGCTCTGTTGTTTTTCTGGGTGCTATTTTTGTTTTCTGTCGTGTTTTCATGCATTCTAGTTCGTTTTCTTTATTGCATTTGATAATTTATTCGTAATTTTTTTTTTTTCATTTAGTAGTTTGGTATTAGAATGGGTCATGAAAGATTATTGTTTTAAAATGCGTCGTTATTTTAATTATTGCATCATCACCTGTATTTCTTTATTTATAGATATCTGAGGGCCTCTAGCTCCTTTTTGAAATACTCAAGTCTATGGTCAGGCTGTGGCTGCCTTTTTTATTTACAGCTGCACTGTTTTCAAACGTCATTTCTAAGATAGAAGTTTTGTTTCCTGCTCAATTAATTTGCTTAAACGTGGTGCTCGGCGATTGAGTATATAACTTTCATTAAAAATGTCATAAGAAATCCCATATATATATATATATATATATA